GACACAATCACTGACTGACTGCCAATGCAACATTATGCTTCGAGACGATCGGATGCTGGACCGTATAACCAATCTACTAAAACGTTAAGCAAGAAAACACGAGAGCCCGAAGTCTTGATAAATTCCACAGCATCAGAAGAAAAACAAGACTTAGGTAGTCGATTTGATGAATTCCATTTTCATTTAATATATTAATTTCTTTATACGGATATACGCTGTGCTACGCCACCAGCTGAAGTGCGTAAAGGAAACAAGTTAACAGAGCCATCGACATGTAAAACAACTCTCACACCTGTACATGACAGTGGTCCATAAACTGCAAGCCAAAGTAGTCACGTTCTTCGATGTCCAGATGGAACAAAACCTGGTCGCACAGATCCTTTCCCAACGCTTTCTTCTAAATCAACAGTTTGGAAGTAATGATTGCATAGGCACATTTACGGTTACAATTTATTTTGCATATTCATATCATAACTAATTCGATTCAAGATCGATTCATCTGAGTTGGGGATTCGAACATACATATGTTAGATTACAACGTTGGAAGAAATCAGAAAACTACACGTCGCAGTTGTCACCCTGGTTACCAGAAGTGCCAACAAAAAATTCTACCGTGGCATTACGCACTCCGCCGGCCACTTGCCCAGAGTTTTAGCCAGTTAATCGAATTCTTATCCCCTTCAGCAAAGCAAGGCCTGAAAACTCTCTCGTAAATGAGCTGTATTTCGGCAGAGGTAAAAAATGCTCGCCATCAGACTGTCTGAGCTCTCAAACTTTATTCTACAGTATTGAGTCAATATCCTCTACATCAGTCATACCTTTTGATCAGCGCCTATCAAGCAGCGAATGATCAGGGTACTTTGGTCGTTAGAACATCGGGCCTGAAGTGAAAAATCGAGGGTTCAAATGCTGGCTGAGTCACTGGGCTTTCATCCTTCCAGAGCAAATAAATGAGCCCCATTTTATGGCAATGAAAAAAAGGTAAGTCTCCTGCCTTGATTAAAGGGAGCGCCTGAATAATTAAACCGTTCCTAGTTGATGTGACTGAAATGAAGTTGAACGAATGATCGTAACCTTGACGAAAGATGAGTGCTTCAAACCGCAACTAAAACTGAGGAACCAGCGAGCCGTTTTTTTTATGTGGCCCGTCTAACGCCATTTTCATCTTTCTTTGACCTAGGCCAATAGTCTTTACGGACTGGAGATAGTTTAAGCTGCAGGAAAAACAAATTATGCCTTCTTTCAAAATTAAAATGGTCCGT